TTTTGGCAGTGTCTGTGCAAAGTTACATATAAGTGTGATATATTTTATACCATTGATTGATCTCAATGATAATTAATTTTCAATATGTTAAAGTTAAGCAGGAATATATTGTGGAGTAAAATTCACATAAATTTAATAAAATGTGACATCTTTTTGGTGGTTTTGAACTATGCCAAGTTTCCCATTGAGATAATTTGAAAAAAAATTGAGAAACATGGATTCTCTATTGGTTGCTCAGTGCAATTATTGTAAAATAGAGTTATTGTGAACAAAAGCAGAGGGCATGCTCAAGAATAATTAAAAATGAAAAGCTGTTGTGTTTTGAAATTAAATGATATGTTGTGCCCTTGGTAAAAGCAGTTTCAATTGAAATGCCATAAACTATATGTGATTCATTGTAGGGGAAAATGGCTTTCACTGGAAGACATTGATGAAGGTTTAATAGACCAAACCAATCTATTGAACCTTTTAAAGCTTTCAGTGATAACAAACTACCAGCTGTGGCACTCCTGGCATAGGTTCACCACCACTGGACTAGACCCCTGAGTTAACATTATTGGCTTTGGGTGGATAGAAATGGGATGAAAAATATTCTGAGGTTATTCAAATTTTGCTTATGTAGATTTGGATTATTCATGTGAGGTAGGTGTTATATTTATTCATCTTTTTATTGTACTTTCACTGTTAGGCACTGTAGAGTAAAAAAATTACATAATACGTGTATGCTTTTATAGAAGTTACAGGGTTTATCCCATTTTTCTGGGTGTTTTGAAATGATGTAAGAATGTGGCAGAGCCTTAAACAGTTTCCTTACCTGAGTTTATTTATATTTTAGGATATGTTGAGAATACCAAAGTATCTTTAGGGTTTCTACTTGTTAAGCAAAAAGTAATGAAGATAAGTAATGCTACTTAATGTAGGGAAATGTTCTTTAATAGTTTACTAAAAAGTAGGAAGCTTTATAATTTATTTATAAAGTAATAAGGATTGATTCTGTTTGTCACAGTCTTATTTCTGTTACCTTGCTAAGGCCCAAGAAAGGACTAAATTCACAGAAGTCTTTCCTTGAACTTCATAAGTCTATATCAGCAGTAATTTCTGATGCTAGCAATATTCTCAGTTGAATGATGAGTCTGTAGGGAGCAGAGGTTCTATTAAAACACTTGACTTTGAAAAATACTTATTAGTTTATGTTATTCGGAAATACTTTAAATCCTGACAGGCTTCTCTCTCTTTTGGATTTTGTAAAAGAGATTGCTGTTTTTTCCTAATAGTAGATCCTTGTTTTTTATCTGAATTTTTCTTATCTTTAATGACCCATTAAACTAAGCTAGGGCCAAGATAATTATGCTAGTATATCTCATTGTAACCGTTTGTTTGTTTGTTTATTCATTTATTCTGCTGTTCTAGGAATTGAACCCAGGGCCTTTGCACTGAGCAAACAAATTTTGCACATAGCTCCATCCTCAGCCTTTGTGTGTGGAAGCGGGGGAGACACTGGGGATTGAACCCAGGACCTTAGTGCTGAGCTGGCTCCTTAGCCTTTTCTTATTTTTTATTTTCAAGACAGGGTCTTGTGAAGGCTCTAAATTGCTCACATTGGGCTTGCTTGAACTTGGTCTCCTCCTACTTCAGCCTTCCAGAGTGCTGGGATTACGAGCAAGTATCGCCAGGCCTTGCTGTAATTTTTTATTCTAAAGAATAATGTAGTAGAAGAAGGTTGTTCTTAGATTTCACTTAAAAATTGCATGAACTTGGATTTGATATTATAATTAGTGTCCTGTCACTCTCTCTTCTTCAAATGACCACGTTACTATTCATACCTTTACTTTTCTCTTGTATGGTAATGACTTCCTTATCTATATACATTCCAGGTGTGTCCAACCTGTGGCCTTCAGGTTGGGCATGCCTATTTATAATAAGAACATAAATGTTCTGTTATATACATTTAACTATTATATGTTTTATATGCTACCCAAGACAATTCCTCTTCACTCAGAACAGCCAAGCAAGCCAAGCATGTTTAACCTTGGACGAACCTCTGTTATTGCATTTTCTCTTTACTGTTTTCTAATTACTTGCCTGTCTAGCTTATCTGTAAGGTTCTTTAGGGCAGGAACAAAGTTCAAAATTCTTCTGGCAGTCAGATTGTTTTAATCTTGTAGGTACTTGGTTTTAGATCTTGTTAGTTCTATTCTGTTTCAGGTTTGCCCTTCTAGATTGTAAACATTTAAGAATATCAATTTAAGCCCGAGGTGTATCACTGGACAATTGCATTTAGCTGACTTTCAACTCCAACCTGTCCTTTCCAGCACCAAGCAACTGACTGGTGAGATGTCTATTCAACTGTTGATCTCTCAGCTGTTCTCTGCTAGGCTTTTGAAGTGTCTTCCTTCTTATGTATTCACAGTTGAGGGATCAATGAATTCTTCTAGGGCAGATTACATATCCATGTTTGGGCTTACTGTCTGCCTGGGTCCCTCCTCTTCAGGCTGTATTGCCCTCAAGTCCTAGATCAGTGGTGGTGAAACTGGCATGCATGCTGCAGTGGGTACGTAGAGCCCTGTCTGTTGACACATGAGCCAAGTACCCCCAGCATGCCAAATGCAAACTTTAACCTTTCAGTAAGAAGTTGTTTGTATCGTTGAAAGGTCTGTAATTGTGTTTTTCTTTTAAGACAAAAGATGTTAGTATATGATTTGTTTTTTCTAAACTGAAACTTCACTATTCAGATTTAATTGTAGTGTTGGCACTTTGTAATACATAAGTGGGTTTTGGGTTTCAAATTGGGCCGTGGGTTTCTAAAAGGTTCATCATCACTGTCCTGGATACTCTGGTTTTGTCAGACTCCAGCTTCTGTCTCCTTAGTCCATTAAAACTTCTGCTTTCTTTTCATATGTGCTTTGAATTGGCACATATTCTTAAAAGGCAATGGTGAATGTGGAGGTTACTTTATTCAGCTTCTTTCAGGTTTTGCATGTAGTGCCTTTTTGCAGTTGTTTTATGCATTTCTGTCTTTTGTTTTGATTTTGATGAGAAACTAAGTCTGATATAAGCTGTGTAGTCATGGCTAACCTAAAGTCCATGTGCATGCATTTAAAAAAATTATTTTTGTTGGAGTCAGATTCACCTAACAGCATCAACTCTTTCAAAGTATATATTTCAATGGCATTTAGTACAGTCACAGTTTTGGATGTGAACAAATGCTTAATTTATATAAATGATAGTACACTATAGCTGTTATTCTATCTTATTTTCACTTAACAGTATGTTCTAAGGGTATTTGCCTATTAACTTTTAACTATCGCATAGTATGCATTTCATTTATCTATTTCCCTTGTGATGGACATTTGGTTTTACAACTTCACACTTCCGTAGATTATGTTGAACTTAATAATAATTTATTCTTGATAACGTTTTCCCTAAGCAAGTAGATTATGTAGGGTCCTTTTTTGGAATTGTGATTACAAAAATTTTTAATTTGATTCACTTCTGTGATCTGGAACAGTTGTCTCTTAGGACTGGACTTTCGGAAACTGTTTTAGACCTTAATATTTACTCCCAACCCCAAATCCATTTTAGCACCAGTATAATTTCTTGAGCAAATTAAATATCTCTAATCACTGCATTTTGCTAAGTAAAGGATTCAAAGCATTCTCTTCACTCCCATCTTTTGATGTTTTGATGTTTATTTTTCACCTTTTGAATGAAAAAAAAATCTAAAACAATGCAAAAAAACTGTGGTTGAAGCTTTCCACAGTTCCTCTTAGGGCAATATTCTACTGTTACAGAAGGAATTGGTAAGTGACACTCAGAGAGGGGCAGAATAGAGGTAAAATAACAGAAGTTTACTTCGTCGACAAGGGTCGATCACACATTGAAGCAGTGCCTCGATCAATGACACTGGGTTACAACTCCTCCTTTTGTAGGGATTTACAGCCTTGACCTCATTCGGGTGGTTGCATTTCATTCTCACAGTTCACATTGCTGATATACAAATCATGGTCACAAGACAGTTAACTTTCAACCCAGATGTAGTAATTCCTTGAGTTAGAGCAGTTTACCTTTAAGATTTGCCTAATAGCTATCCTAGCCCATAGGAAGCGGGTGTTCAGAGTCAGGGGAGAAAATGTTAGCAATGGTCCTTTTCATCTTGACACTTTTTATGATCATGTGGCTCCAGTCTCTTCAGAGCTCAAGGTCGTGATGTGCCCTGTTATCTAAGAGTAAGACCAAATGCCTCATTCAGTAATTACTGCCTTTGGTGTCTGTTAGTCTCTTCAGCTCAAGGTCGTGATGTGCCCTGTTATCTAAGAGTAAGACCAAATGCCTCATTCAGTAATTACTGCCTTTGGTGTCTGTTAGTTCTGAACTAAACAAATTAAACTGCTGTTAGAGGCAGCAGAAGCTGTTCTACATTGTAACACTTTATAGGTTTTTGCTGTTTATAAAAGTTTTCTCTATCACTACAATTCACTGTAAGTCCGTGGCTTTTTTAAATGATAGTTTAGTAATTGAACTCCAAATCTGGGTGTTGCAAACTGCTTAACCTATTAGCTTTGTGAATTGGGGCAATTGCTTAAACTTTCAGAGCCTTGGTTCTAAATTTTTGTAATGAAAGTAATAGAAGAGTAGTTGTTGGATTAAGTTCAAGGAGAATAATAATGTAAAGTTGTGGCATATGTATAATACACAGAAGTGATAGTTGTATTGGTTGTTGGTATAGGCTATAGGTGATATTTTATATTATTTCCTTTGAGTACTATTTTTGTGGAAATGGTTATACTGCTCATTTGGCAACCCACAATATGGTACCTGGTATCATTTTTAATGTGTTGTGTTCTTTTCCATAGAGAACAGAGATTTTCTCAGAATCCAGTGTAGTTTGTGTGTCTTGCAAATTAAGAGTGCATTTTAAATCCTTTTTGTTTACTTTTCTCTCTGTTTTGAGAAACATAAACATTTGTACTTAAATTCTAAATTGAACTTTTTCCTACCAGATAACTATGATGACAACAGAGACTTCTGTGACTCTTGCTCCTTTGGAGGATACACTGAGTCGAATGCTGTTTGGCTGGCAGAAACAGTTTTCATGGTGTGAAAAGAAAAGTGAAACAAAACCATCTTCTAATGGCACTGGTTCATCGGCCTCAAAACCTATAGCTGATGCTTCAGAGAATGTGAAAAAGAAGCATAATAAGAAGACTGAATAAATTTATTTGATGAGCTCTAGAAGGCAAAAAGTATATATTTTTTTCTTCTTTCAGATTGTGGTAATATTTCTATGTAATGATGTGAAATAAAGATTATCTATAAGAGTGGCAAAAAGAAAGACATTCTTTCTGTTTCAGGGAGATTACCATTTTCTTGGATTGTAATTTTGAGTGTTAAGTGTATATTAGGTAAATTTATTTTTCTGATATAAAAAATTCTCTTATGATTATTGTTAGTATTTTTGCAATACTGAATATTGAACTCATGGGTACTCTGCCATAAAGTTATATCCTAACCCTTCAAAGTTTTTTTTTTTTTTAAATTTTGAAACGGTCTCACTAAGTTGCCCGGGATACCATTAAACATGCAAATCTGCTTCAGTCTCTCAGTAGCTAGGATTACTGATGTTCCCAGTTCTTATGACTATTTGAATATTTTTATAATAAAAGAAGTATAGTTTTTTAGATCTAGGAAAAGTATAGATATTATGGCAAAATTACAAAACCCTAAAGCTTAAAAACCTAGATATTTTCATAGTTTTAAAAAGTCTGAATCTTTTTGAGCTTTATTCACTGGAATTAGACTTTTATTTCCCATTATCATTATAATTCCTAGGTATAGAAAACAATTCCTATTTATTTTGGAGCACTGACAGCAGTAACTATTTCCTAAAGCAATTTCTAAAGCATTGTATTAAAATGAAAATAAATTGCTAGTTTATATTCGATATGTAAATGCAATTTTGCTCACATTAAATGGAAAATACCTGAAATTTAATTTTATTTCTAGTAGTACTTTTCTGTGAGAACACAGTATTAATATGAGTCTCTATGAAGTCTGTTCATGCCCTTGTTTTAAAAATTACTCTTTTTTTGTGTGTACAATTTTTAATAAGTTACTTAACTCCATAATTTTGTAATTTTCACTTTGGAAGTTTTTTCTTTTTCTCTCCTTAAAACATATTTGTTTCAACTGTAGGAGAAACCATTCTCCACATTTCACATGTTGTTTGTGGCCTTAATTGGTCTGAATACATTGCTGATTTTTTTCATTTGTTCATGTGTGTGTGTGTGTATTTGTGCATGCATGTATGTGTTACTGGGGATGGAACTCTGTCTTCACAAGTGAGCTACATCCCCAGCCCTTTTACAGCTTTTTGAGACAGCATCTCACTAAGTTGATGAGTTGCTGTGGCTGGGTTTGAACTTGTGATCCTCCAGCTTCAGCCTCTCAGAGTCCTGAGATTACAGGCTTGCACTACCACTTGTGGCTTGGTGGTAGTTATCTTAATGATTCAACAAAAAGTATTATCTCTATTTTAAATTTTCCTTCTGTGTGTCCTTTCTAGTGGCTCTTTATTTTAGTTTTGTTTGAATATCTTTTTTTTTGTTTGTTTGAATATCTTTTGCTAACTTTTTGTGTTATGTTTTGTCTTAATCTATATACACATAATGTGTAAATGCTTGTCTTTAATGAGAATTGTCTTTGCACATTTGCGCATTGCATTAGTAATCAGCTAATGGGAAACAAAGCTGAAACCTCATATGATTATCTGTTTGAATGAAGAATGATGACACTAAGTCTGGATTACTAAATGGTGTTAAATTTTTTTCTTTATTTTATGATTTAAAAGTTAATGACATGAAAACTTGTGACATGATTTCTTGTAACAAGACCACTTACTACCTGTATCAGGTAGTTTTGGATGGGTTAGAAGTACTCAAATCATACTCAAATTGAAAGTTTTTTGTTTTTTAAATTTTAACATATAAACACCTGCAGATACTGTAGTTTTACTTGCTTAAAAAAATAAATGGGAGGTACTTGTAATAAACTTGGACTGCTAAGAAGTTGATATTTAATACTGTCATAGCTTTAAATTGAGTTTTGTATTTGATATTAAAAACTTCCAAGTTAAGATGTTATTGTTTATTGGCCAGTTTTAAAATTTGAATTTAACTGTAGTTGAAACAGGAATCTTGTTTTACACTTGTATTAAAGACATATTCATTAAAATAAGTTATTTAGCACCAATGGAGTATTACATTATTTTGGGCTTTTTCAAAAAATATTTTTTCTGAGGTAGGAGATCATAATTCCTCTGTTCTGACTGATACATATTCAGTGGTTTTAGTTTAAATGGGACATTGGTATAAACTTTATTAATCCATGCAAGTATGCTATAACCCTCCATTCAAGGTTCTTGAAGGGTCGGAGCTATATCTAGGCCTGAAACTTCCCACCCTGAATTTACACAGGCTGCCTGTAGAGATCTGACTTGGATTTTTAAACCAAATTGTTAGACTCCTTACCCAATATGAAATATGACAGAGGCCTGTAGACCTGCCTTACACAGCCTAGGTAATCGTAGGTGGCACCAAGAAGTCAAGACCTGGTGATCTTAAAAAAGGAAAAGACATTAATTTGGCAGGAACATGGGCCTCCTCCATAATTTCACTCTGAATAAAATGTGCCCCAATAAATACTCAAGTCTGATTTAGCAGATTAGTCACTGTTCCTTGCTGAGGTAACACCCAGTGAGGCTGGAAGAGAGACCCAGGTGTGTGAAGTGAATGGATTTCACTGCTCCACCTGTGGGCACAGACCGAAAAGTAGAGAGATGAGAGAAGAGGGGAGAACTGCTATTTCAGCCCATATACTTTACATGAAAATCAACGTCAAATCACAGGTTGATTGCAGTTGAGTGGAATGTTGGAATACGTGTTCAAGAATGCTCACGCAAACCCCAGATAAAATTCACATTTTTGGTGAAGTTCGTTCATTTGCTTATTCAACAAATACTGAATACCAGTTATACATCAGGCATTGTCCTAGGCAGAGATACAGAAAACAAGAAAAGGCCTCTTCCGTGAAGTTTATATCCCAGTGGCGAAGAGACAGACGAGAAACAGATGTGTTCTTGTTGTGCTAATAAAGATTGTGAATGAATATTAGGTAGGCAAAGAGGATAGAGAGTGAGGAGAGTGAGGCTATTTGTTAAAAGCAGTTGTTAGGCCTCCGTGTTAAAATCGCTTTTTAGCAAATGTGAAAGTTGTAAAACAAGCCATGTAGACAATCTGGTAAGTACAAGTATCATACTTGTTCTTTAAATACTTGATTTAGACCTTATTTTCAAAAATTAGTGAATTTATTTTTCATATAAAGTAGTTTCACTATCATTTTAACATGTAATTCTTTAGTAGAATTTATTTTTGATTTGCTCTTTTCAAATAAAAATTTTATACTATGCACAAATTCTAAGTGTGCATACATTGAGTTTTGATAGATGCATAGTTATACAATCTAAATTTCTAGCCAGAAATAAACATTAGCACTCCAGGAAGTTTCTTTCCAGTTACACCCTCCCCTGTTGAACATAACATAAATGAAATCATGCACTATGTTCTTTATTTGCACAGGCTTTTTAACTCAGCATAGTTTTTGGAATTTCTCTATTTTGTTTCATTTATTGGTAAGTCATCCCTTTTTAATAGCCTAGTAGTGTTCTGTGTGAATATACCATAGTGTTTATTCTGTTGTTGCACATCAGGCTGATTCTAATTTGGGTGTTTAAAATGAAATATTATGAACATCTTAAGTTGACAAGTTCTTCGGAGATTTACTGGATCTATGCATGATTTTATGAATACTGCTGGACCCATTTTCCAAGTACTGTTTTATGCTTCACGCCAGTGTGTGTTCCATTTGCTCTGCATTCTTACCCAAGGATTAGTGTTGTCAAGCATTGTCATTTTATCCATTTCTAGTGGACGCTTTGTGGTTTTATGGTTTTAATTTTCATTTCCCTGATGGTTAATGATGTAGAGCAATTTTTTGTATGCTTTTTGGCCACGTCTGTATCTTCTCTGTGTATTGTCTGTTCAGATAGTTTGCCCATATTTTATTAGATTTGCCTTTTTATTTGTAGACATTATGCGTCATGAATGTCAATCCTTTGATAAATATTTTATATGCATGGTCTTTCTGGTATGTTTTAACCCATTCATTTTTCTAATAATGTCTGTTAACATTTTTAATGAAGAAGTCTAATTTTTTGGTATTTTCTTTAATAGTTATTTCTCTCTCAGTCTTAAGCTTTTGAGTGAAGTGCGATGGTGCATGTCTGTAATCCCAGCACTCTGAAGGATAAGGCTGGAGGATTGCACGTTCAAGCCCAGTTGGGGCAGCCTAGTGATTTAGCAACACTTTGCCTCAAAAATAAAAGAAAAATTAAAAAGGGCTGGGGTTGTTGTCCAGTGTGAAGACCTTGGGTTAAATACACCAAGTTTGGGGTGGAAGGTTTTTTTCCTATCCCTTACGTCATGAAGGTATTTGCAAGGCTGAGGAACCCCAAATAAAAGAATGCCTAGAGAAGCATTTTGTGTTACTATATGACTCAGTCACTCAAGCCTGCTTGGTGGCTCCTGAAAAATCATTGGGTACTTTATGTAAGTGGTCACATTTTCTGTGCCTGTGCTGTAGGCTATGCCAGGGAATCTGGGAAATTTCTTTTTTATGTAGGGGCTTTCTGTAGGCAGGCTATGTCACAACCTGATGTTCACAAGAGGTGGTAAAGATACGATAATAAATATTTTATAAATGACGGAAAAAATTACAAGCTCAGTGTAGGTACGGGGTTTAAACAAAATTTAAATGTAAGTGTATCTGTGGTGACCAAATGTGGACAATGGTCTAGTGTACAAATCTATGACAATACAAAATTATGTGGCACATATAACTGAAGATGAAAATTACTTAATGTCTGCATTTAACAGAGTGAATCAAGACTTAAGTAACATCAAAGAATTAAGAAATTGTGCCGGGCATGGTGGCCCACACCTGTCATCCCAGCACTCAGGAGGCTGAGGCAGGAGAACCACTGTGAGTTTGAGACCAGCCTGGGCTACATAGTGAGTTCCAGGTCAGTCTCAAGTACGTAGTGAGACCCTGTTTTAAAAAAACCGAAAAAAAAAAAAAA